AGCGCCCAGGCGCTCCGCTGGCCTCGTCTCCACGGCGTGAGTTCTGTGCCGACAGAACGCATCCTGCGGGTGTCCGTCCGGCACAGGCCCTTGTCCACCCACAACACCCGCGACAGAGGCAGAGGGTGTCCCTCCCGCGCGGATCACCGCGCCCAAAGGCCAGCGCGCAGCTGCGGTGGGAAGACATCAGAAAGCAGTCCCGCTGCCCGCGAGGCGACTTCCGCAGGGAGCGGTCTGCCTCTGTGCATGCCAGTGCCCCTCACTGGAACTCTTGTTTTCCCTTCCACCCTATTCCAAAGTCTTTCTTCTTCTTTTCTTTAAGTTGATTTTTAGAGAAAGGAAGGGAGTAAGAGAGGGAGAGAAACATTGATGTGAGAGTGAGTAATCCATCCTCCTGCACACCCCCACTGGGGATCAAGCCTGCAACCCCGGCATGTGCCCTTACCCAGAATTGAATGGGCAACTTTTAGGTGCACAACCAACTGAGCCACAATGGCCAGGGCCTTGCTCTTCTTTTTTTTTTTTAATTAAATCTTTATTGTTGAAAGTATTACATACACCCCCCTTCCTCCCTCATTGACCTCTTCTAGCCCTCCTGCACCCCCTGCCCCAGGCCTTCATCATCACACTATTGTCTGTTCTCATGGGTTGTGCATATAAGTTCTTTGATTGATCTCTTCCCACCCACTTCAGCCTTCCCTCTGAGATTCCGCAGTCTGTTCCATATTTCTATGTCCCCCCTCCACACCAGGCCTTCTCCACCCTATTGTCTGTGTCTATGGGTTAGGCACATATGCATACAAGTTCATTGGCTGATCTCTTCCCACCCACCCACCCTCCCCTGCCTTCCCTCTGAGATTCTGCAGTCTGTTCTGTGCTTCTATGTCTCTGGATCTATTTCGTTTCTCTTCTTTTAAGGCCTAGTTGGAGTCAACTCTAAAACCTTGGCCAACTTGGTTAGTCACTGAACTTTTCTTGGAACATTCCATCTGTACCACTTGTGTGACATGTTGGGAAGCACTACTAAATATCAACTATAACTAGCATGTGTTTTGTTCCCTTGAATAGACTATAAGTTCCTTGCGGGCATCAGGCCTTCTTTTCCATAACAGTCAGCAGATTGCCCAACACCAAGCATATTGCTATGCAAGGACCTTAGTAAGTCATTGCTTGATTGAAGGCCATCTTAGGGCAGCCAATAATTAGTCCAGTGGTTTTCAAACTTCAGCAGGCACCAATCACCTGGAGGGCTTGTTAAAACAGGTTGCTGGGCCACATCCTTAAAAGTTTCTGATTTGGTAGGTCTGTAATAGGACCCAAGAATTTGCATTTCCAACAAGTTTCCAGGTATTCTATAGAACTAGATGTACCAGTTAATAATGAGGATTTTTTTCAATAGATAGAGTTACACATATGTTGATATATATGTGATTTGATATGTATGGTATTTTGTTATATTGACAACAAGCTTCAAAACTTCATATATCAAATTTTCTGAAGGTGTTAATATCATAGATATTTTTACACTTAAAAATGTCAAATTTCGTGCCAAAAAAAGAGAGCATTTGTGGGAAGTTTTAATTCATTACTTTATTTTGAAGAAAAGTGCTGCTGAATACTTTGGGAAGCTTATGGTGAACATGCTCCATCTCAAGATACTTGTGAATGCTGGTTTAAATGCTTTAAAAGTGATGAGTTCGATGCGAAAGACAAAGAACATCCAGATCAACCGAAAAAGTTTGAAGACCAACAATTACAAGCATTTTTGGATGAAGCTGCGTGTCAAACTCAAAAACAACTTGCAGAAAGATTAAACGTTGCTCAGTAAACAATTTCCAGTCGTTTATAAGCAATGGGAACGATTTTAAAGGAAGGAAAATGGGTGCCACATCAACTGAACGAAAGACAAATGGAAAACCAAAAAGTCATCAATAAAATGTTGCTTCAACGGCATGAAAGAACGGCTTTTTTGCATTGAACTGTGACTGGCGATGAAAAGTGGATTTATTTTGAGAATCCCAAATGCACAGAATCATGGGTTGATCCAGGTCAACCATCAACATCGACTGCAAGGCCAAATCGCTTCGGAAAGAAGACAATGCTCTGTGTTTGGTGGGATCGGGAAGGTGTGGTGTATTATGAGCTTCTAAAACCAGGTGGAAACGTTAATACTGATCAATATGGACAACAAATAATCAATTTCAACCACGCTTTGATCGTGAATGACCAGAATGTTCCAGAAGACGTGGCAAAGTAATTTTGCTTCATGATGATGCACTATCACACACTTCAAAACCAGTTAAGGAAGTATTAACCCACTTGCCATATTCACCAGACCTTGCTCCTTCAGATTACCACTTGTTCCGATCGATGGCACATGCACTTTCTGAGCAGCACTTCAAAACGTACGAAGAAGTGGAAAATTGGGTCTCTGAATGGTTTGCCTCAAAACAAGAAAAGTTCTATTGGGACGGTATCCATAAATTACCTGAAAGATGGGGGAAATGTGTAGCTAGTGATGGACATTACTTTGAATAAAGCACTTTTAAAAATATATATATATATTTTATTGATTTTTTACAGAGAGGAAGGGAGAGAGATAGAGAGTTAGAAACATCAATGAGAGAGAAACATCGATCAGCTGCCTCCTGCACATCTCCCACTGGGGATGTGCCCACAACTGAGGTATATGCCCTTGACTGGAATCGAACTTGGGACCCCTCAGTCCGCAGGCCGACGCTCTATCCACTGAACCAAACTGGTTTCGGTGATTAAAGCACTTTTGATGCTTCTCTTGAAATTATCATGTTTTCTTTGATTACAAAATCCGCATTATTAACCGGTTAATAATGCAGAGTAATTATTAACCAGTTAATGCCGATCAACTATTAACTGGTTAAAAATGCCGATTAACTATTCATCAGTTAATAGTGCGGATTAACTGTTAACCGGTTAAAAATGTGGATTTTGTAATCAAAGATCCACTCCAGCCCTAACCGGTTTGGCTCAGTGGATAGAGCGTCTGCCTGCAGACTGAAAGGTCCCAGGTTCGATTCCGGTCAAGGGCATGTACCTTGGTTGCGGGCACATCCCCAGTAGGAGGTGTGCAGGAGGCAGCTGATCGATGTTTCTAACTCTCTATCCTTCTCCCTTCCTCTCTGTAAAAAATCAATAAAATATATATTTTTAAAAAACATTTTTAATAAAAATAGAGTCAGAAATGCCTCAGTTGCCAGGCTGCAGTTAGAGAGGGTCAAGTCAAAAAGAGAAATACAGACAGCCAGATATAATTTTTTTAAACCCTCACCCAAGGATATTTTTATTGATTTGAGAGAAAGGAAAGGAGAGAGAGAGAGAGAGAGAGAGAGAGAGAGAGAGAGAGAGGAACATTGTGTTGCCTCCTGTAGGTGCCCGGACCAGGATCTAACCCAAAACCTGGATATGTGCTCTGACCAGGAATCGAACTTGCCACCTTTTGGTGTACTGGCAACAGGCCAACCAACTGAGCCACACTGGCCAGGGCCAGATATGGGGTATTTAGACACACAGACACACTCACACTCACACTCACACTCACACATGAAACACTTCCTCTTTAGGCGAAACTCTGCCATCCCTAAGTGAAATTTTGAAGAGGACAAATTTTTTTCTTTCCCACATTTGGACTCGTCTGCTGGTTCAGAAACCCCAAACTTATTGCTCTCTTCCTACTTCCTAAATCTGCTTTTGGGGGGAAGTCTCATTGTTTGAAAGTCCCCTGTGATTACAAATCAAACTTCTAGGGAGTTACCTTTCTGCTTCATCTTCGGCACGGAGTGGCACTGTTTTTGGCTGAGGAATTTCAGGCGCGGTGTGTTTAGCAGGCACAGCAACCATCCCCACCACCCCTGGAACCACACCTGCAGGTCGTTTTCCCCCAAGCCCCACGGCACAGATTCCCTGCTTCTCAACCTGTGGGTCGCGACCCCTTCAGCGGTCAAACGACCCTTCCACGGGGGTCGCCTAAGACCATCCTGCATATCAGATATTTACATGACGATTCATAACAGTAGCAACATTACAGTGATGAAGTAGCAACGAAAATAATTTTATGGTTGGGTCACAACATGAGGAATTGTATTTAAAGGGCCAGAAGGTTGAGAACCACTGCTCTAAGATGATGAAGAACATAATCTGTGGCCTGCCCCATTCCTTAAGTGAAACTTCCCAACTCTCACCTCTTTAACCAGTAGTTGGGAAAGAATAGGTCCTTGGGCATAGGGCTGGGGAAACTACCAGGACTCCATGGCTCACCTTGGTATCCTCTTGGTCTACTGTCCCCAGTCCTGTCCCCCGCACCCCTGCCCTGCCCCCCAACTCTGAAAACGAAGCCACTGCTTCCTGAGAAGGCAGAGAGTGGGCAGATACTTAATTGACCTGAGTAAGGAAATGCTAGCGTTCAACCTAGCTAGCTCCATCCATAAGGGACTGTTGGGCCCTTCCTCTCCCTTGCAGGCCCTTCTTACTCCCCGGGGATAGATCATAGCTGGCCCCTGTTCTGTTCTGAGGACAGGAATTGTTGGGACAGCTGCGCCTGCATTAGGTCAAATACATTTCCTGTTGATTTGATTAGTTTCCTTCCAAGCAATGCGTTTATGGAAGGAAGGGAGATTTTTGCAGGCATAGGCAGCCAACCTCCTCCAGTCACACACACACACACACACACACACACACACACACACACACGCG